ATTTCTATCAGGAATGTCACTTGAAAAAAGAGAAAAGTTTGATGGGGTTGATATCAAAGAGGAGATGACAGACGCCCAACCAGTTAACCCTACTTCAACCTGGTCATCATTAGCATGCACTTGTAAATGTATAGAAAACGACGAAAATAACAAACTTATGAAAGCTGAAGCCGTGCTGTGTAATCAGTTTGAAGCTGGTTTAAAACACCTCAACCAAGTAGGTGAAGTTGTGAAGATGGAGGATGATAGGATTTTCCGTGATATCCTGGCTAAAGCTGAACCTTTGGACTATAAAGAACTTCAGTGTGATAACTGTAATCTTGCGCTAACAGTAACACCAACGAACGTATTCAACGTAAGACCTGCAAAAAGAAATTCTTCTTCCGTTCCTATACTTACAGAGTCTGACTGTGGTATTCAGGCTGAAACTCTATCTATTGCAGAAACCACTCCATCTGGGACTGAACATAAGTTGAAAAAACAGAAACGAACTCATACCGGAGAAAAACATTATTCTTGCAGTCTGTGTGATTATAAATCGAGTCGATCGGGCGCTCTTGCTCGTCACAAACGGACACACACCTGAGAGAAACCTTATTCTTGCACTTTTTGCGATTATAAAGCGAATCGATCGAGCGATCTTGCTAGTCACAAACGGACACACACCGGGGAAAAACCTTATTCTTGCAGTTTTTGTGATTATTAATCAAATCAATCGAGCGATCTTGCTGGTCATAAACGGACACACACCGGGGAAAAACCTTATTCTTGCAGTTTGTGTGATTATAAAACGAGTCATTCGAGCGATCTTACTACTCACAAACGGACACACACCGGGGAAAAACCTTATTCTTGCAGTTTTTGTGATTATAAATCAAATAAATCGAACAATCTTGCTCGTCATGAACTGACACACTCAGGAGAGAAAACTTATTCTTGCAGTTTGTGTGATTATAAATCAAATCAATTGAGCAATATTACAGCTCACAAACGTAAACACACTGGAGATAAACCTTACTGTGCTGTTCTGTCTGCGACATTAAAGTGAAGACGGCTGGATCTTTAAAAAGGCATATTATGTTGATTCATAGTGGGCTGTATGGCTGCGAGTACTGTGACTGTAATCCTAAATCCAAGGACGATTTATTGAACCACATAAGATCTAGCCATATATTACCTCATCTGAACAATAGTTTAATCCAAAAAGTTCAGGAAGGAGAACTTCGCTAGTTAATACATTAAAACATTATATAATATAGCATGTTTGATAGATTTACTCGGGACAGAATTTTGATATCTTCCAAAGTCTTGTCAGTTATCCAACAAAATATTTGAACTATATTGCAAACTTAAGAGTGTACTCTATTTTTGGTTAAATGCTTAATAAAATTTGTGGCTCGATTATATATTTTATTTAATAATTTGATGATTGAGACTGAGTAGTTACAAATTATAATACATAATCCTGTTATTTTTAATTTTGCTTGCTAATTAAGACGTAAAGAACGTTAGTACAAAAATTTCTATCAGGAATGTCAATTGAAAAAACAGAAAAGTTTGAGGGGGTTGATATCAAAAAGGAGATGACAGACGCCCAACCAGTTAACCCTACTTCAACCTGGTCATCATTAGCATGCACTTGTAAATGTGAAGAAAACGACGAAAATAACAAACTTATGAAAGCTGAAGCCGTGCTATGTAATCAGTTTGAAGCTGGTTTAAAACACCTCAACCAAGTAGGTGAAGTTGTGAAGATGGAGGATGTTAGGATTTTCCGTGACATCCTGGCTAAAGCTGAACCTTTGGACTATAAAGAACTTCAGTGTGATAACTGTAATCTTGCGCTAACAGTAACACCAACGAACGTATTCAACGTAAGACCTGCAAAAAGAAATTCTTCTTCCGTTCCTATACTTACAGAGTCTGACTGTGGTATTCAGGCTGAAACTCTATCTATTGCAGAAACCACTCCATCTGGGACTGAACATAAGTTGAAAAAACAGAAACGAACTCATACCGGAGAAAATCATTATTCTTGCAGTCTGTGTGATTATAAATCGAGTCGATCGGGCGCTCTTGCTCGTCACAAACGGACACACACCTGAGAGAAACCTTATTCTTGCACTTTTTGCGATTATAAATCAAATCAATCGAGCGATCTTGCTGGTCATAAACGGACACACACCGGGGAAAAACCTTATTCTTGCAGTTTGTGTGATTATAAAACGAGTCATTCGAGCACTCTTGCTCGTCATAAACGGACACACTCAGGAGAGAAACCTTATTCTTGCAGTTTGTGTAATTATAAATCAAATCAATTGAGCAATATTACTGCTCACAAACGGACACACACTGGAGATAAACCTTACTGTGCTGTACTGTCTGCGACATTAAAGTGAAGACGGCTGGATCTTTAAAAAGGCTTATTATGTTGATTCATAGTGGGCTGTAGTAGTAAACCCGCGATGGGGTGGCATGTGCCTCAATAAAAATATTACAATCATTTATTATTATATCAATGTATCATTAAATATTTCAAAAATATCAATAACGTATGGTTGATCCTTCACACTTGGTAAAATATATAAAAATAAAGTTAATCTACACTAAAGAATAAATAATCTATATTATATAAATCAACAATATTAACTCCCCATCTTCATGTAGTCATTTATCAAAGCGGTAGAAATCCAAGTAATTTTAGTACGCGGTGCGCAAGGAATTTCGTTTTTTTTTTTTAAATGTGTAGGCAAGATAAGCCTAAGTGTATGGCTGCGAGTACTGTGACTGTAATCGTAAATCCAAGGACGATTTATTGAACCACATAAGATCTAGCCATATATTACCTCATCTGAACTATAAGTATAGTTTAATCCAAAAAGTTCAGGAAGGAGAACTTCGCTAGTTAATACATTTAAACATTATATAATTATATAGCATGTTTGATAGATTTACTCGGGACAGAATTTTGATATCTTCCAAAAAATTTTCAGTTATCCAACAAAATATTTGAACGATATTGCAAATTTTTGGTTAATTGCTAAATTTAATTTGTGGCTCCATTATATATTTTATATAATAATTTGACGATTGAGTAGTTACAAATTGATAATTATTATACATAATCCTGTTGTTTTTAATTCTGCTTGCTAAAGACGTAAAGAACTTTAATACACAAATTTCTATCAGGAATGTCACTTAAAGAAACAGAAATGTATGAGGGTGTTGATATCAAAGAGGAGATGACAGACGCCCAACCAGTTAACCCTATTTCAACCCGGTCATCATTAGCATGCACTTGTAAATGTATAGAAAACGACGAAAATAACAAACTTATGAAAGCTGAAGCCGTTCTATGTAATCAGTTTGAAGCTGGTTTAAAACACCTCAACCAAGTAGGTGAAGTTGTGAAGATGGAGGATGTTAGGATTTTCCGTGACATCCTGGCTAAAGCTGAACCTTTGGACTATAAAGAACTTCAGTGTGATAACTGTAATCTTGCGCTAACACCATCGAATGTAAGACCTGCGAAAAGAAATTCTTCCTCCGTTCCTATACCTACCGAGTCTGACTGTGGTATTCAGGCTGAAACTCTATGTATTGCAGAAACCACTCCGTCTGGGACTAAACATAAGTCGAAAAAACACAAACAAACACACACCGGAGAAAAACCTTATTCTTGCAGTCTGTGTGATTATAAATCAAGTCGATCGAGCGATCTTGCTAATCACAAACGGACACACACCGGAGAGAAACCTTATTCTTGCAGTTTGTGTGATTATAAAGCGAATCATTCGAGCGCTCTTGCTCGTCATAAACAAACACACACCGGAGAAAAACCTTATTCTTGCAGTCTGTGTGATTATAAAGCGAGTCAATCGAGCGCTCTTGCTCGTAATAAACGGACACACACCGGAGAAAAACCTTATTCTTGCAGTTTGTGCGATTATAAATTTAATCAATCGAGCCATCTTGCTTCTCACGAACGGACACACACAGGAGATAAACCTTATTCTTGCAGATTGTGTGATTATAAATCGTATCGATCGAGAGATCTTGCTACTCACAAACGGACACACACCGGAGAAAAACCTTATTCTTGCAGTTTGTGCGATTATAAATTTAATCAATCGAGCCATCTTGCTTCTCACGAACGGACACACACAGGAGATAAACCTTATTCTTGCAGATTGTGTGATTATAAATCGTATCGATCGAGAGATCTTGCTCGTCATAAACGGACACACACCGGAGAAAAACCTTATTCTTGCAGTTTGTGTGATTATAAATCAAATCAATCGAGCCATCTTGCTTCTCACGAACGGACACACACCGGAGAGAAACCTTATTCTTGCAGTTTGTGTGATTATAAAACGAGTCATTCGAGCACTCTTGCTCGTCATAAACGGGCACACTCAGGAGAGAAACCTTATTCTTGCAGTATGTGTGATTATAAATCAAAGCAATTGAGCAATATTACAGCTCACAAACGTACACACACTGGAGATAAACCTTACTGTGCTGTACTGTCTGCGACATTAAAGTGAAGACGGCTGGATCTTTAAAAAGGCATATTATATTGATTCATAGTGGGCTGTATGGCTGCAAGTACTGTGACTGTAACCTAAATCCAAGGAAGATTTATTAAACCACATAAATTCTAGCCATATATTTCCTCATCTGAACAATAATTTAATCCAACAAATTTAGGAAGGAGAATTTCGCTAGTTAATACATTTAAACATTATATAATATAGCATTTTTGATAGATTTACTCGGGACAGAATTTTTATAACTTCCAAAATCTTGTTAGTTATCCAACAAAATATTTGAACGATATTACAAACTTTAGAGTGTACTCTATTTTTGGTTAATTGCTAAATAAAATTTGTGGCTCTATTATACTCGATCATATATTTTATTTAATAATTTGATGATTGAGTAGTTACAATTTGATAATTATTATACATAATCCTGTTATTTTTATTCTTCTTGCTAAAGACGTAAAGAACGTTAATACAAAATTTCTATCAGGAATGTCACTTAAAAAAAGAGAAAAGTTTGAGGGGGTTGATATCAAAGAGGAGATGATAGACGTTCAACCAGTTAACCCTACTTCAACCCGGTCATCATTAGCATGCACTTGTAAATGTATAGAAAACGACGAAAATAACAAACTTATGAAAGCTGAAGCCGTGCTGTGTAATCAGTTTGAAGCTGGTTTAGAACACCTCAACCAAGTAGGTGAAGTTGTGAAGATGGAGGATGATAGGATTTTCCGTGATATCCTGGCTAAAGCTGAACCTTTGGACTATAAAGAACTTCAGTGTGATAACTGTAATCTTGCGCTAACAGTAACACCAACGAACGTATTCAACGTAAGACCTGCAAAAAGAAATTCTTCTTCCGTTCCTATACCTACCGAGTCTGACTGTGGTATTCAGGCTGAAACTCTATCTATTGCAGAGACCACTCCATCTGGGACTGAACATAAGTTGAAAAAACAGAAACAAACTCATACCGGAGAAAAACATTATTCTTGCAGTCTGTGTGATTATAAATCGAGTCGATCGGGCGCTCTTGCTCGTCACAAACGGACACACACAGGAGAGAAACCTTATTCTTGCAGTCTGTGTGATTATAAATCGAGTCAATCGGGTGCTCTTGCTACTCACAAACGGACACACACCGGAGAAAAACCTTATTCTTGCAGTTTGTGCGATTATAAATTTAATCAATCGAGCCATCTTGCTTCTCACGAACGGACACACACAGGAGATAAACCTTATTCTTGCAGATTGTGTGATTATAAATCGTATCGATCGAGAGATCTTGCTCGTCATAAACGGACACACACCGGAGAAAAACCTTATTCTTGCAGTTTGTGTGATTATAAATCAAATCAATCGAGCCATCTTGCTTCTCATGAACGGACACACACCGGAGAGAAACCTTATTCTTGCAGTTTGTGTGATTATAAAACGAGTCATTCGAGCACTCTTGCTCGTCATAAACGGGCACACTCAGGAGAGAAACCTTATTCTTGCAGTTTGTGTGATTATAAATCAAATCAATTGAGCAATATTACAGCTCACAAACGTACACACACTGGAGATAAACCTTACTGTGCTGTACTGTCTGCGACATTAAAGTGAAGACGGCTGGATCTTTAAAAAGGCATATTATATTGATTCATAGTGGGCTATATGGCTGCGAGTACTGTGACTGTAATCGTAAATCCAAGGAAGATTTATTAAACCACATAAATTCTAGCCATATATTTCCTCATCTGAACAATAATTTAATCCAACAAATTTAGGAAGGAGAATTTCGCTAGTTAATACATTTAAACATTATATAATATAGCATTTTTGATAGATTTACTCGGGACAGAATTTTTATAACTTCCAAAATCTTGTTAGTTATCCAACAAAATATTTGAACGATATTACAAACTTTAGAGTGTACTTTATTTTTGGTTAATTGCTAAATAAAATTTGTGGCTCTATTATACTCGATCATATATTTTATTTAATAATTTGATGATTGAGTAGTTACAATTTGATAATTATTATACATAATCCTGTTATTTTTATTCTTCTTGCTAAAGACGTAAAGAACGTTAATACAAAATTTCTATCAGGAATGTCACTTAAAAAAAGAGAAAAGTTTGAGGGGGTTGATATCAAAGAGGAGATGATAGACGTTCAACCAGTTAACCCTACTTCAACCTGGTCATCATTAGCATGCACTTGTAAATGTGAAGAAAACGACGAAAATAACAAACTTATGAAAGCTGAAGCCGTGCTGTGTAATCAGTTTGAAGCTGGTTTAGAACACCTCAACCAAGTAGGTGAAGTTGTGAAGATGGAGGATGTTAGGATTTTCCGTGATATCCTGGCTGAAGCTGAACCTTTGGACTATAAAGAACTTCAGTGTGATAACTGTAATCTTGCGCTAATACCATCGAACGTAAGACCTGCGAAAAGAAATTCTTCTTCCGTTCCTATACCTACCGAGTCTGACTGTGGTATTCAGGCTGAAACTCTATGTATTGCAGAAACCACTCCGTCTGGGACTAAACATAAGTCGAAAAAACAGAAACAAACACACACCGGAGAAAAACCTTATTCTTGCAGTCTGTGTGATTATAAATCAAGTCGATCGAGCGATCTTGCTAATCACAAACGGACACACACCGGAGAGAAACCTTATTCTTGCAGTTTGTGTGATTATAAAGCGAATCATTCGAGCGCTCTTGCTCGTCATAAACAAACACACACCGGAGAAAAACCTTATTCTTGCAGTCTGTGTGATTATAAATCAAGTCGATCGAGCGATCTTGCTATTCACAAACGGACACACACCGGAGAGAAACCTTATTCTTGCAGTTTGTGTGATTATAAATCGTATCGATCGAGCGCTCTTGCTCGTCATAAACGGACACACACCGGAGATAAACTTAGGGGTCATTCATATATTACGTAATCAATATTCAATATTTTAGCAATTTTTACCCCCCTCTCCCCCCTCCGTAATCAACCGTAATCAAGACCCAACCCCTCTCCTGACGACCTGACAGCAATGTAACATAATCATGGCCTGACCCCCCCCCCCCCCCCCTTCCTTGACTTGTCTCTACGTAGTATTATGCTATCATGATGAGCCGAAATCATTGTTATGATATCCGGTCAAACACCTTCTAAACTACTAACTATTGTAGCCGGATATTCGATCAATTTCTAAATGTTGTCACTATCAGAGTGAAATTGAGTGGAACTGGAATTTGAACTAAAATATTGTCAAATTGTTATTATTTTAGATTCAACCGTAAGCATTTGAAACCCCCCCCCCCCCCTCACTGACTGGTTAGTATTACGTAGTATGTTAACGACCCCTATCAGCCTATCAGGATGAATTTAGGTTTTGGCCGGATATCCGTCCACTATATCATATTTGTTTTAAACTAATTACAAATCTATTACATTTATTTTACCTTGGGACCTCAGGCTATCATGTTCATAAACATAATAGAGAGATTCGGCGGAGTGACAGGCTGAGCGCGGCCCAGTAACATTTATTGAGATTTATAATTATGCAATGTAACGTGATGGAAATATGTTAAACGAGCATATCCTGTCCAAACCCAGGATGCACTATATATGAAGAATTCGTTGTAACTTTGTTTGAAAAGCATTAATTTATCACATATTATTCCCTGCAATAATGATGGCCTGGGTTTGATACTGGCGGGTACCTATATAGCACAGGAGCTAATTTCAACGGACCGAAGGATTTGTAGGTTTATAACCTACCAGGACGCGCGCCGAGTTGGACTCGTCGACGGTCCTAATATATGAAACAAATATTTTACGAGTATCACCCGTTAAACTCAAAACTGCGTGACGCGCTTGTTTCACGCACTTATTGCTTATACTGCAACCGAAAGGGCTCTGATCTGGTTAGAGCTTACCTGAGGACCCCAGGCTATTATGTTCATTAACATATACCGAATAAAGATTTGGCGGAATGACAGGCTGAGCGCGGCCCAGTAAGTTAGAGCAAGTGTTTCTGTATTTTCACATAGCCATGTGTATACGCGTACGTACCTTCGGCGGTCGCACGCTACTGCATACTGCAAGTGAGAGGGCTCTGCGGTTAGAGCAATTTCTGTATTTCTGTATTGTTTCTACGATACAGGGGGACGCACACTCGTGCACGGCAGGTGATCATACACTTACAGCGTTTGAAAAATAACTGGCTACAATGAGCATTTCATAGACAATAAATGATTTACTAATATGGGCCGCGTTCAGCCTGTGTCATTCCGCCTAATTTCTATTTTTATGTTTATGAACATGATAGCCTGAGGTCCCCAGGTAATATGAATAATAAAAATCAAAAACTTTAATTTCTAAAAGACTAGACTAATAATTTTAAATACCCACCGGCCTAACAAATTATACCCTGCTAAAATGTTAAACATTATAAAACATCAATAATTTAGTTGTATCACGTTGTGACCCCCACGGTCGCTTCACTATAGTGTAGCGTCTTCGACGCTACAGGGAGAGCCGCGCACTTCGTGCGCGGCGGGTCATACAACGTATGACAATAATTTAGTATAAAATCAAAAATCTTAAAATATCTTCATTTCAAAATACTAGAATAAAAAATACTATGTTTAAAGAACAAAATATTTGACTTTACCAGTTACTTGACCCTTATATTATCAAAATTCCTAATAGCCAGTGTAATAAGCGCCAAGCGCGAGTTAACGGTTGACGTTAGCGGCGCGCGAAAAGTGGCATGCAACGTATGTCAACGCTTGCAATAGCGCGCGACCGCCTATCTACTTGTGAAACAAGCGCGTCACGCAGTACGCGTAGACACATGGCTACGTGAAACCATTGTTAATGGTTAGGCCCGGCGCACGCTACTTCGAAGAAATTTAGACGAGTAACATCCGTCAATTTAACGGGTGATCATTGTCATTTGTTGTATGACCCGCCGCGCACGAGTGCGCGGCTCCCCTGCATCCTAGAAACTCTATAATGAAACGACGATGGGTCACGACGTCAAGGTTTAAAGGAAAATTATTTTCAAATTTTCAAATCTGAACACAAATTTTGAACAATTTTTTTGAAAAATTTGGTGCTTCAAATATTATAATTTTGGTAACAAAAAGTTTCTTCTGACTAGACTAAGCTCATTACGACCCTTGAATAATTGTTTGAAAAAAATTCAATATTTTAAGAGTTATAGGCAGTTCAAATTACCCATTTTTGTCCTTTGTTTATTTTTGAAATGTACAGGAGGCCGACATACAGCTCGACGTTCTTGTGCTACACGGTAAATTTTCATTATTCACAGTTAGAGGCAACTTTTGGTACCAAATTTATCAAAATCAGAGACAAAAAAGTCGGTGCCAACTCATGGTTCGTAACCTACCTTCATTGTGTTTCTTTTGTGTTTTGACTTTGTTATCATGCTCTGCTCTGGAAATTGTGATAGTACCTGTTCGACTTGTTAAGGAGACGATTTCCTTGTTCTTATGTTGCAGGATCAGAATGTTCGTGAGGAACAGTCACCAAAAGTGAGTTGCTTACCTGCTGTCTGTTTTCGTACCTACTCTGGTCTTCACTCAAGTTGCAAAGCTGCAAAAAACGTATCCATAAGAACATTTATATCTGAAAATTGTGTTAGTACCTGTTTTATCAGTTAAGGTGAGGATTGCCTCGATCTTTCGGTTTCAGCTAAACTTCCTAGGCCCTAGGTCATGAGCTGTAGAACCGAAGAATCAAAATACATGTTGCTTGTTGCTCGTGTTAACTATAAAACATCAATTTTGAGGGATAAGGAAGCTGAGTGGAGTTGGGTTAGAAACATATAAGAGATACGATGATTTAACTTGTAGAAGCTTTCAATAAACATGTGTTAATCGTCGTCAGCTGAATGTGATGGGGTGGACAATGCTTATATGTGATTGAGTGGTGTCACGGATGGAGGGTGGGGGAGGTGTGGGTGGGAAAGTGAAAATTACAGTACAATGTCAATAAAAATTTAGTCTTCTGTTGAGGTTGAGAAGGAAATGCCAGATGGTCTGGACTTTAAGGATTTGGCAATTTTAGGAAGAATGGGGTCCCAGAGGGAACTTCATTTGGGTGCGCGGTCTGTTCTGTTCATGGCTGGTTGTCGTATTTGTATAGCTGCGTGTTCTGTAAGGTCAAGTTGGGAGCGTGAGGTGAGGGATTTGAGGACTTCGATGTTGTTCCAGGAGATGGTGTGGCCAGTGGTCAGGGCATGATGTGCAGGGGCTGATTTGATTCTGTCTGTGGATTCGTCGATGGCGTTGTTGAGTCTGTAACATCGTTCGTGTTCTTTCATGCGGTGAATCAAGGGTCTGTAGCGTAGGTCTGTCCGGTGTATTTGGAGGGGCATAAGGAAGCGTTTATAAACTGTATGACTGTTTCGATTTAGCTAGGTTTCAGAATCTATATAGTATATATAGGTTCTGAAACCTAGCTAAATCGATTTTTCGTGCAATTTTTCGGTCAGAAACAGTCATAGAAATGAGTTAATAAGAAGGTCGGTTTCTTGGTTATTTTTGAGCTTTCGAAGGTTTCATTGGAGGGAGATCAACAACGCGATATCTTTTCAGAATGCTGGCTAACCTTGAGGAAGTTAAAAGACAGAAGCTGGCATGTATAGTGCTTTTCCTTGACTTCGAAAAGGCATTTGATAGTGTTCATCTCCCATCACTATGTGTCAAACTATCAACTCTCGGTATTCAAGGAAATATTCTTAACGTGCTGAGAAATTTCCTGTTCAACCGGACGATATGTCTAAAAGTGAACAACTATAAAGGAGAAAAAAGAAAATGTACAATATTTGGATTACCTCAGGGGGCTGTACTATCACCTCTCCTCTTCATCCTATACATAGCAGACATGACACACAACACCCCGGAAGAAGTAAAAAGATATCTAAGCTGCTACAAATTTGCTGATGACGGTACACTTATGATTTCCTTCGAGAACATCTCCGGATGCCATGAAAAAATGCAGATGGTTTGTGACCACCTCAGCAAGTGGTGCATCAAGAACAAGCTAGTAGTGAACTGTGATACGAATAAAACGGAGGCCATAATCTTGAAAACTGCAGCTTATACTGAAGAACAGAAACCTGCAGAATTATGTATTAATGGGAAAAGCATCAACTACGTCCAAAGCACAAAGGTCCTTGGGGTAATAGTAGATGAAGACCTCAATTTCAAGAAACATGCGTCTCAAAAACTTAAAGAATGCAAAAGAAAGTGGGGATTAATAACAAAATCAACTAACCGCAACTACGGTCTAAACGTTTACAGCCTCACTCTCCTCCTTAAAACAATGGTCCTCACTAAACTGTTCTACGCAGCACCTATTTGGCTTCACAAGTGTCTCAATCAATTTAAAAGCTTCTGGAATAAAATCATTCTAAAAATATCTGGATCAGTCCTGAATCCACAAAGGGAATTAACCGAACTTGCTCTCCACCTCCCACCACTGGATGTGCAACTCGAAGCTCTTTCGGTTAAATTCATGTGCAAAGTACTCACACAAGGTGACAACCTCTCAGCTACACTCTACCAAGTTGACGAAAGCAGAATACCAAGCTTTCATGTCTTAACAATGTCACTGAAAAAGTACTTCCTTTGGAAAGAAAATAAGTCACACGGAACCAGAATGATAGACCTAACGCAGCAACATTTCAAGGATCTGGCCTATTACACTCAGGCAGACATAATGAGCTACAAAAATAAGATCTGGATTGACAGCATCGAAACAAATCTGCAATGCAGAACTGTCAGTAACAACAAGGAGACCAAGATACTTGGTGTGATCACAAAGATCAAAAACAGTGGGCTGCTCCTAGACAAAAACAACTTCTTATTCGGGCACAACACGAGTAAAAATCTGGACAGCCGAATAATGGACTACATTCACGGCAGCTCACCACTCTTTGCGAACATCCAAAAGATCATGGGTGGTGACAGTGGTGAGGCCTGTCGTTTCTGCAACAGCTTCGATGATTCTCCTGTACACCAGCTCCTATTGTGTCTGGAGGTGCAAGACACCAGTTACCTGCAGCTAAAAGAAGAGCTGGGTGGGGCTGACTCACATTCCTATCTAGATGAAGTGTTAACAAAAAGCAGCACACAAAAAGCATTCATTAGAAGAGTCGAATTTCTTTGGGGTCAAAATGATGCTCTCCAGGATTTATCCAACTAAACTAGAAAGATCATAAAATAAAGACTCTGCAAACATCTCAGAGAAATAACACCACCGTAAAGATTAAAGAGGGAGTATCCTGGACCCCGAAATCCACCACTTTTCTGTACTTTCAGAGGTACCAATGTGGCAGGAAACCAGGGCTCATGCTGCCGCTGAGCTAAAGCAGTAGAGGGGATGGCGGCTTCTCTAGGATCTAACACGTCCTGAAGCAGACCAACACTATGTCCCAACGCACTGGTGTTGGGATGTCTGCCCCCGGTGCCTGTCCGGGTCAATAAAGCAGTCAAGCATCATGTATGTTATGTTGAGCATTCTCAACCAACAAATGTGGGAACTCCCACAAAACACCAAAACAGATCTAAAGAGACACTTAACAACATTGGAAAAATAGACTGCAATTTGTTTATATAATTTATAAAGCGTATATTATTGCCCACGTTAAGGGGCCTGTTAATAATTTATTAAATTATTAGCTATTTTAGATTTAATAATAATAATAATGAGCTTTCGTTCAGAAAATAATTCGGGGCCTTCAAAGGGGGGCAACAAAAAGACGTTTCAAGTGTTACAAGCCTTCCATAATACAAAATATGTATCACCTCTTCAACCCGCCTAACAGGGGCTTACCCTAAAAATGTAAACAAACATGTATCACCTCTTCAACCTGCCTAACAGGGGCTTACTATTAAAGTAAACAAACATGTATCACCTCCCCGCCAGTATCCACATCTATTACATAGACTATAAGAAAGTGCGATGAGACTGGATTTTGGGCATAACAATTAATTCAAAATAACTGAAACTGTGCCCAAGAAACCCCGCTGGCTGCGCTAGGGTATATTTCCAAAAGTAAAAGAAATAGAGATTATATTGAGATTATAATTAGAGACTTCCGGTTTTTTTGAAAAGTGTTCGTCTCGTAAATTTTAATGTTTTCTTAAATGTGATGACCCAAAGGAAAAGTTGTACATCCTTGGTGCTTTTGCAAACCATTAAGGGCTAGATTTGAGAACAAAAGGGTGAGTTTATTTCAATGGAGCTAACCCATATTTTACTTCATGATGAAATAATGTTTAAACGTTTAAAAAAACAAAGTAAACCCAGGTAGTAAAATATTGCAACCCCTTATTTTGGGAATTTTGATTTGGAGAAAAAAAGAATGTTGAATATCCAGATTTTTATGATCTTAAAATATGAAAATTATAACAGTAATAATAGAATATTTATTATTAAGAAAGGAGTGATTTTCCATGAAAAAAAAGAAATTCTCTGTGACAGAAATTTATGAATCTGCCCAATATTATTTGATTTGATGTATTCCTCGGCACTTACTTCGTCAACAGCTTTAAAAAATGAGTAAAAATTTCAAACTTTTTAAAAGCTCACTTATAGTCTTATAATATACATTTAATTTTAGCTTAGGCTAAGATGAAAAGGCACACTGCAGCTGGTAGGAAAACGTTTAAAAGGAGACGAAAAGAAGTGATTAATCTGACCTACCAGCGTCCAATGGGTCTTTTTACCGATCTACCAGAAGAGATCATACAGGTAATTTTCAATTCCAATCCATTATTGCATTTAACAATTTGCACTAAAATTGTATCTTTGAATGAGTAATTTATACATGAGTTTGAATTCAAAACGATTGATCTAAGCATGAGAAAGCAACTGTTACTATTTCAGAGTATTCTGGGTGAATACATTCCTTTGAGCTCATTGGCAGTATTGGCACAAACAAGCAAATCTATGTGCACTTACATTAGAGAACTGGCCATCGACAGTCAATTAATCATACAACCAATTTGTAAATACATTGTTAAAAACTGGTGTCCTAGAATTTCAGTTTATTTTGCTCACATAGGATCCTTTTTAAGAATGGCATCGTCTTACTTGAACACAAAAGATAAATTAAGAGTGTTAGAAACATTCATTTTTACATTGGAAGAATCATTCATAGAGATAAGTCAAAAGTTATCACTTGAGTTTGCATATGACTGTATCGGACTATTGATACAAAGATTTGTAATCAAATGGGATGATGATGGTCTCCGGGAAGTCTTTACTGTAATCAGCAGATTGTCAAAACTCCATGAAAGATTAAACAGAGTTCTCTCAGTTGACAACCCTGGAATACTGAGGAAATTCGAGCAAGATATCAGACTCTTTGTTCGACTGGTTTTTATTGAGAAAGTATCTTCGTCAGATCAGCATTGTTTATGGTTGTCCCTTTTAATGGAATTGTTTCCAACACAACGGGCTAGATTACTGTTTCTCTTGTATGGACCTACTGAGGAAGTCGAGGATGAAGGTAGTGCCATAGTTGATTGGTATCTACTAGCTCAATGTACTGATTATGGCCATTTTATCTGCCCATATGAAATCTTAAAAGACCTCGCTGATGTTTTTACTCTGGTATCTAATTCTGAGAGGTTCAAGTGGTCAGAGACAGCCATTATACGGTTCTTCAATGAAATAACATGTCAGTTCAGATAAGTATTACATCGAATTTAAAGAAAAATGTTTTCTTACTTTAATCTTGTACCTCATCTGTTTATTTCTGGATGCAGTTGCTTAGTCCAGAATTTGCTGTACTATGTTTTTGTTCAATTTTTGTTATCAATTTACTCACTAAAATATCCAGGTACCCCAGATGAATGGTGTCACGAGAACCAAGCAAAGCTCCTTTTTCTATTGGGACAAGACATGGCTGTAAAGATTCTTCAAGCAAAACTCAAAACAAACAACATATCTGATTTTGCAGGCATTGCTTATCACCTGGCACAAGTGAATTTGATTTTTAAACCTTGATGCATTTCTAAGGGCTTTTATTATATTTTGACAAATCTTTAAGCATCTTTACCCCTAGATTTTTCCATGATATAAAGAAGTTTGAAGAATACTCTTAATATTGCTCCAAATAACAGGTATCGTCACCAAGCTCACAAGAAAGTTCCCCGCATTCACTGACCTGGTTTGTTGAGGTGGTATTCAAATCCATATTAGTACTCCCAGCACCATCTTCAAGAAGCTATGTCATAGCTGAGATATTCAGCACTTGGAAGGAGAATATTCAGTCATTAACAGATGACCTTCAAGATAATTTCATTCTCAATGATTTTGGTAAAGTGGACTAAAAGTTCAATATTTCTTATGGTATTAAACAATAAACATATCTTTCTAATTCTAAACTTTTTAAATTTTCGATGCTATTCAATTTCCTGCTATATTCATCTGTCATTGCTAACATTTTCAGGTAACCTGGTAGAAAGATGGCGTGCTTCAGTAACAAACCTTTCCTTGTTAACCCATCTTCTCACTGAAGCTTTATTGTCTGATAAACCTGGGAGCTTGATCAGCTGTAAAAAGCTCTTTCAACATGACAACGGAATCTAATATCAAACTGCGTTCTTCAAACAGTGTTATTTTGTCTGTTCTTTTCAACTTTTCAACTTATACCGCTCACGATAAAATTATTACACATCTGCATCTTTGTTTAAGGGGGCCACGGTCCTAATTTTGTGAATCATGGACATCTACCAGATACTTTTTACTCCATAAAAAACATTGATCCTGGCCGAAATTGTAGGTTCTTAAATTTAGCGTGTTACATGTATAATTCTATTGCTCAATTTTCAACCGTGATTTACCCAAAATTAAAATTTTCTTATACAGAATAACACATATGAGCCATTATTTTGGCCAGGATTAATATTTATGATGGAATAAGAAGCATGGCATCTGGAAGATCTCAGTCACCTCTTTTAGAAAATATCATAAAATCTATTTCCATGATTCACAATATTGGGACCCCCCTGGCCCTTCCCTTTATACTTTTATGTCTGTTGTTCTAAATGTGGATAGAATTGGAGTGAGTTAATCATTATCACAAAGTTGATCTGGTTCAGCGTCAACTATTCTAATGCAAATGTTTTCAATGGCTAGTTTAGATATGTTTGAAAACATTTCGTTTTTGTAAAATTTTAACGTAGAAATTATATTTATTCTTTTATTGAAATGACTTAGTGACAATTGGAGCTGAGCAGTATTGCAATGATTAGTTTGAAATATTATTTGGTTGTTGGTAATTTCAGATACCCATTGCATTGTTTCAAATCCTGATGCCTTGGATATTGTTCAGAAATTTCGTGTAATTATTGCATTGATCTAATTAAATTGTTTGTTATCATCAGTGTTTGTCTCTGGGTAAATTCAATGCTTAAAGTAGGATTCCTCACTGATTATCTCAATCTTAAGATTTAGGCTGCAATGAAACGTGGCCAAATCGAACAGCGGAAGAATCCAAAACGATTATGTAAACGTGCAACTACAAAACCTACTGAAATGGGTCAGTTAAGCGGCTTTCCAGAGGAAATTACTCAGGTAAAGTTTCGCTAAAAAAGTTAACTTTATTTAAAAGTAACAAATCCTACTTATAATACCAACGATGGGGATATTTAGCTGATCATGATAGTGATAACCGAAACAGGGGTTTATTCGAGGTACTTTGAACATGTTTTTGATATGAAAATATTATATTATTTCTCAACGCATACATTTCAGCATATTTTATCTGACTTCTGTATGCCGTTGAGCTCCCTGGCTAGCCTATGTATGACCAGCAAGACCATGTGCGACTATATAAGAGACCTCTCCATCGACAGTCAGCTTGTTATCCGACCTATCAATGGGTGGATTGCAACTAAATCCTGTGCCAAGATCAAGATTCGCTTTATTGAGATTGGCATGCTCTTGAGAGCTTCATGTTCGTATCTGAACACGACAGAGAAATTGAAAGTTATTGAAACGTTTTTCTACGAACTTGGAGAAACTGAACCTGATTACCAGGGAACTTATCACCGGATTTGCGAGGACATCAGTCTTAAATTTGCTTACGACTGCATCGGGCTTTTAATAAACAAATTCATCATAAATTGGGATGACGAAGCTTTGAAAAGAACATTTGAATTGATCAACAGACTGTCAAGGTTGAAAGAGAGGATGGATAAAGTCCTGCTTCTAAACGAGCCTGGCAGCAAAGAAGCTCACGAGCGAGATGTGAGGCAGTTTGTCCAGGAGGTATTCCTAAAAAAAGCTATTTCACCCCACCAGCGGAGTCTGTGGTTGTCCCTCCTGCTGGACATGTACCCAACCCAACACGCCAGGTTAATATACCTGCTGTACGGTCCACTACAGACTGTGGATGGCAAGTATAATGGGATGGTTGATTGGACTGTTCTGACTCAGTGTGGGAACTATGGACATATTCCCTGCCCGTATAGCTATTTCAAGGATTTATCTGATATCATGATGCTGATTCAGTCTTCAAGGATGTTTAATTGGAACAATGATACCATGTTACGGCTCTTCAATGAACTTACTAGTAAGTTTCCCTCGCTGAATCATGTTATTATATATATATGTTAAGAGTGTACCTCCATTCAACCTCCATTATATTCATATATTTATCCAAAATTTTTGCATGCCTTTTATTGTCTAAATATTATATTGGTTACCGAGTTTCATCTGAATTTGATTGATATGATTTGTTATAAATATTCCTACAATAAGTTTGATTACATTTTATTTACCTCCAGATACCCCAGAACCGTGGTGTTTGGAAAACAATGCCAAGCTCATGTTCTTCTTAGGGCACAACTTGACTGTCTTTATCTTACAAGCTAAACTCAAAGCTGACAGAATACCTGAATTCAGCCACATAGCTTACCACCTCGCTCAGGTCAGATTAACTTTCATTGTCTCACTCAAAAGCACTCTAATGTGAACTGTAATATTCGGTTAGTACGAGTGGATACCGCTCTGAAGAAGCGGAAGTGTAACTGGTAACATGTGTAAGTATGCTTTATAAACTATAATTACAGGTGTCCTCTCAGAACTCTCCAGAAGCAGAGGGTTCCCCTGAGTCACTGGGTTGGTTTGTAAAAGTCATGTTTGAAGCTATCCAGATACTTCCTGCTCCATCTAGACGCAGTCACGTGATATCGGAGGTCTTCAAAGCTTGGAAAGAGAACATTCAGGCTCTGAGTGAGGAATTTGATGACCCTCTCGAGGATGATCAAGGTTGATTAAACTTATAAATTGAGCTGTAGCTGTGTACGCAGTTAGTTACTTTTCATTACATTATATTGGTTAATGAACAGTCAGCTGATTGTGAAACTCCCCTGATTACATGTGCACATTGGAAATTGGACAATGTACAATGGACACATTCACATTTGCATTGCTTTCATCTTGCATTTTTTATTTTTTCGGCATCTACGTCTCTAGAACAGGCCGGCGGTTTGAAATCACCATAAACGAATATGATCCCCAATAGGCTCTATCTAGCTTATCATTAATTCTTTTCAGATGAGACTAGAGAAGATTTGAGAATTGCGGTTGTTAATCTGGCATCAATAACCCACCTTCTTATGGAAATGATCCTGATAAACAAGGAAACAAGTGCTTGCTACAGTTCAAATACTTGCTTTTCTCGTCCGCGACCCAAGCACGAGGAATAGTCGACAATTTTAAGATTACAGTAGTTTTATGATCTTGTTTCAACCAAATAGGAGTGTGATAATGAGAGTGTGATGAAATATATTTTGATGATAATTTTGGAGATGAAATTTTCACGATGTTTTGTAAATAGTTAATTTGTTATTATTTGAATGTAATGATCTGGTTTCATTATTTCCGCATAATATCACAATTCGTTTGACGAATGTTTAATTTTACTTTGACCATTGCAATAACGAGCGACAAAACGTATGTTAAAATACGAGAGTTCCGATTAATATCTTTTCAGGTTCAGATGTTTAAAGTGATTATTTGGGAACTTTTTATTTGTTAAAGTTATTATTAAGGTATTGAATAATACGTTGTAAATTTATGTTTATTCTATCAGATTTATTCGATGTGAACATCATTTCAAATTTATTATCAATTTTGTTTAGGGCATATATACAAATTTCCTGTGCACAATAATCAATATTGACTGGCTGGACCTTGTAAAAAGTGAAACCCAACAAGCTAGGAAAGGACCATGAGTTAGATTATGATTTCCCGTTTCCTTTGTATTATGCCCTTAACCCAATGTCTTTAAATATTTTCATGTACTAAATTTCAATTTAAATTTTTGCGACTCACGTTCTATCGTTTTCTTATGAATCACCGTGAACTTTTCGCTTACAAAAAAACTTCTTATTTCATTCAATTTCAGCTCAATTCACAGCAACGTGTTAGTCTCCACTTAGAGGATGTCGATCAAACAAATTATAATTTCCATGGTAACCGCCCATTGGGCTCTCCCCAGCTATGAAATGAAGATCCTAGTAACTACAGCCCTACTTCTGATCTTGTACCAGCCTTACTCTTCTGCAGAAGACATTGTTTTCTCCTCTCAAACCGACGTTTTCCAGTAAGATGTGATACTGTGTTGTACTAGCTTACTAGGTTCAGATTTGTATTTTGCTTCAAATATAAAATTAGAGTCGTTAGTAGAGAGTTTAATGCAACTACCATGCCCATAAGCCTTCAGTTAACACATATCTTTAACACAGACGATCAGCTAGCACATAGTCCAATAAATGTTCAGGTCAGGGGTGCAGTTTATAGGTCATTACGTTGGCTCATCAACTGAAGACATACAGTGGTCTAGCCCGGACTACTGTACACAGACTACTGTTACTAATGCTATAGAGACGTTTGTGTGTTCTAACAGTGGAGAGGTTCTTATCGAACTGACACAGGGGGCTGAAACTCTTAACTTCAAGTAAGTTTTGCCTAACATTCAACCATTTACATATCTTGTTAAATTATTTCAATTAAGTTTCATGATATGATATCGTGGTAGTTTCTAATATAAAGTGGTTTTGGAGAACGACTCTTGACAGTAAATGCTCAGTTTGACTAAGAATTTAATCATTTCTATTTACCCTGGCCTAATGTGTCCTAACTCCTAACAGCAGGTTGTCTTAATTTCAGGGTGATAGTTGAGCGGAACTCTATTTGTTACACATGGGGAGTAGAGTTCAGTGATAAAACTGTGTCTCTCTGGGTTAACAGCAATACCGAGCAGTCAGATCCTGGCCTTTCATTGGAGTTCTACGCTTTAGGAGAGGTCGGTAACACTTCGTGGCCGTGGGTGCTTTCTATTAACAGAATTTAATATTGCTACCAGTAACACTTCATTGTGACACCGTCATGTATTCAAAATTAGATATTGCATTAATATTACATTAAAGGTTTTGAAAATCAACTAACTTTCAAATTGTTACACAAAGTAGTACGTCATTTCATTATAAAGATAGTTCGCCGAAAACCAGTACATGCCTTGACAAGTGCAAAAGTGTGAGCAAATATAACATAACATACCACACAAGTAAAGAATCCCCCTCAGTCTCCTAAAGTAACGCTGAGCTGTGACAAAACCCTTCAAGAACTACAGCGAGGACAGTTTGACTTGGAGACCAATAAATGGGTGCTGAGTCTGGGTGATGGTACTGATTCCTGCACTCACATGACTGTTACCGGGATACCTGTGGTGCTGAATGGCTGTATCGTGGCTGACTTGGTGTCCCCTATCTTCAGGAAAAGGTATCTGTATAAAGAAATGATATTTAAAATTATTATGAAATGGCTTAATTGAGAGAGCTTGCAGTTGCAACAAGAATTTACACAATAATGGTAAATTTTTATCACAATTTCCTTTGCAGCTTGCCAGAACAAGAAGACAGTAAAGCAGCTGAAAGTAACACCTTCAAACAATGTGTTGACTATTGTGGCAGTGGAGTGGGTGTCTTTCTCAACAATTCTATTGTTCTTATATCCGCTAATAGGATGGAAACTACTGATATTCTTTACCTTGATCGTACGTACATTTGCTCAACTTTTAAATCTTAATGTTTGTCTGAAAGCTAAGGTTCAACAGATTTTGGAATTGTTAAAAAGTTAACATCAGAAAGATAACACAACCTCTTCTATACCCTATTAGATATAGTTATTGACTGTGGCGTTATGATGGGTGGAACCATACTGCTGCTTGTCGAAAATGGGAAGGAGTTACTCGTTTTAGAAGATTTCAGCTTGTCTAAAACTATCGGACTTGAATTCAAAGCAGGCATGAAGATAAAAGTTTACTAGAGTTTATAATTATCGATTTATTGGTTTAAACTTTAATTGGTTTAATTAAACCAAATAATTGTCAATTAATTTAATGTCTTATGTTGTAAAATCAGAGTTTCATGACAATCTCCTCAGAGCACATTACTGTGAACACGAAATGCATGAGTTCATTGGAGTCAAATCATAACTCCAGTTTAGTAGTGCTTTGGAACAGCGCTAACATGTCAATTCTATACGAGACGAATATTGTGAAAACTATCTCAAGTTTACCAGAGTCGATGACTGACATCAGTGCTGTTACAGTATCTTATTTCGGAATTGAGTTAATCGCCAAGGATCAAAGTGATTGCATGTGGTTCACATATAACTACGAGACTGAATCTTTAGCCTCTGGTAATTAAAGTTTAATGTGAATCATGAACATTATGTAATGACTAAAGGTTCAAGCATTACAGCAGGCTAGGGTGTCATAATTATTGGCGCGTAGACAATTTTGCGTAAAATTGTAGATTACCCAAGCTTTTAGAAACGATCATTACTTGACTTCTGAGAGTCAGTTTCCTATGGAGTCTTGATCATTCGAGAGATAATCCTTCATACTACAGTTCAGTTTAAAAACGAAGTCCGAAAGAAGTTAAATTTCGTCGATAATCACTGCTGTATAAGAACCAATCTATTTGTAATCTTAGCGTTATCACAACATTAGAAACTCAGTTAATAATTTATAAGTAGTTGTGCCTAATGCTTATAGATGAAGTTATAAGTCGATAACAATTAACAGTAATATCTTTTTATCTCTAAGATTATCTCTTCTTAGAGATAAAGATTCTAAGATTCCCTTGTCACACTGTGGAACATTGTTGGAAAATATCACTTTTAACGTAAGGCGCTGAGCGTCTATTGTGACACAAACAATCATCGCTCTTCTGCACCATGACAGAAATGCGCGGCTTTTTCCTGAGAAAATGTTCGTGGTTGTATTTACTCTAACATATACATAATATATAACATCTGTTAAATGTTAATTATATATATTACATCTGTTATACGAACATATCCAAAAACTTATCTTCCATTATTTAGGTACAAAGCTATCAGTCGACTGCAGTAGTGGGTGTGAATTGTACCAAGTTTGCCCCCACACAAGCTGGCTAGAAGCTGACAGTAAGCTGTACTTCGTCACAGCTCAAGGGAAATCAGTTTCACCAGTTCGATCTTATGTGTCCGGAGAAATTCTGGAAACAAGTGTCCTTTCCATGGCTATCAGTACGTTAACCAACATTATATTTATAATATGTTCAGTTTAATTAATGTGGTTCAGATATTAGCTGATAAATATCTGTGCAATATGAGTAAAATTATCTCTGTATTATTATCTCATCTCACGGGTACAGCGACAGTTGACCCCCCCCCCCCCGACAATTGACCCCCCGACATTTGACCCCCATGTATATGTAATTACACTGGGGTCAATTGATCGGGTTAGGGTCCTGGGTCAGGGTCAGGGTCAGGGTCAGGGTCAGGCATTAAATTATATTGTCGGGGGGTCAATAGTCGCCCACCCATCTCACGCCATCAACTGTTCGCAAACTGGCTGATTCACGCAGCTAGACGTTCCTCAGATTATCATATTCTCAGTTCAGGTGCTAAAGATGAGTTCGCAATACTCTCTAATGATGGAGCACTCTACTTGGGTTACTGTTCAAGATCGAGTGTTATCAAAATTGCTGAAGGTTTTTCTTCTGCCCAAAGTCTAATGTTCGACAGCATTTCGCAACTTTATTTCCTTGACGATCTCGGTAGCTTAACTGCTGTCCCTGCTCGAATTCTTTTAGAAGAAGCCTTGGATTCCGACACTTGCTCCTTGAAGGTTGGTCTCAAAAACAACTTGCTACTTTCTTACCATAATACAGAGAGAACTCCTCTCGGTGGTCACACAATGTGGTGGGCCGGTTAAACTTAAAGCTTAACGAATTTCGACAGGTAGGTAGGAGACATATCGGCTTTAATGGTTTCGTCAAGCTAAATACCATTTACCGTCAGAATTTCGAAAGTTCGCTATCAAGCTCACTACTTTATCTGGATAAAGGAGAAAAGAAGAGTTACAACATCTCCCTGACTACCACTAATTATCAGAAACCTGGTCTGCTCTATCAGCTTTATCCTCAAGGACATGCTTTGGCCAATATCACGGTGAGATGTTAATGGTGTTAGATGCACTTATAAATATAATGGAAACAACGTTCAGAAAGATGTCTGATACATTTTGTTCGTCTTGATACACATTCTAATTTCTGACTTCTACAAAGTTTGATAAATGTTGCATTATTTTCAGTCGGTATTTTCCGCGTCAAGTTTGGCGTTAGGAGCAAACCAGTTCACGAAGAGCATACATGTTGCAGGTAATGTAAACACCCCTACAAGACGTGCAGTAGTGCCCAAAAATAATTCTTAGGATTGATATTTCAGATTAAGTTCTGCTCTTAGCTTCAATTTAAATTAGTACGTATCAATATGTTAAAATGGACTGAATTCGATGTAAAAGTAAATAATATGCTAAATCATCACAATATGGTCCATCCCACAGGTCTAGAGAAAAAAGGGCTAAGTGTGATAATTGCGAGCCCAGAAGCTGCAGATCCTCAATGTTCTGCTAAACACACGGTCAGAAGTGTTCAAAGTTTGGATTCATACAAAATACAAATGTGGCATCTTAAAATAGTGTAACATCTATATTATAGATATACTAGAAAACCCGTGGTCACAGGGAGGAAGCTTATAGTATTTTAAATTGTTAGTAAGTTTAAATCGCGTAAAAAATATACTACACAACCGAAGATACAGCCGATTAAAATGTTGCTCGCACTAAACACAACGTTATATCAAAAAAACTGATAAAAATGCCGTTTTAACAATCTTTGCACGTGCACGTGCGTGTAACAACCCTCGTTACCACGGTTACTTTGCAACTACCTATTTCTCATCTATTTGCACGTGGGCGGTCGTACAGCAGAAAGAATTCTTTGAATTATAGTAGAGATTATAAATGTTATAAGTTTTCATTGACAAAATCAGGGAGTTTATATTGCATTTGGACACGAAGGGAAACACACAATCTTAGGCTCATATAGTTTATAAATTTCGCAGGATGTGACCTATGTTGTGGTTGATTGTCCGAAGACCAGGCACTTGGAGATTCTGGACAAACCTGCCCAATGCGATCAGTACAAAAACATGAGCATGAACTATACCATATTTCGGTAAGTTTTAAGCTCACTTTTGACAAGGCATTTGTGAGTAAGTACTATATGAAATATCGATTTTTGAATTTGTGAAAGAATTTTAATTTGATGATATCCACAAAAAATCTCCAGTCTAACATTAAAACTGCGGGGGCTCGCACTATACATTTAACACTGCAGAATTTAATATGCACTTACAGTACTGCTGGGAAGCCTATAAATGTCGAGTACGACTTGGAAGAACTTGGATGTCCTATCATAACAAAATACGACGAAGATTATTTGCCCGATGTTTGGATCTATGATAACGGGGTAAGCTTCTGTATTTTAATCTAAACCATTAAAGTCTCTATTTGTCCATGACGTATCAAATGGATAACCAGTGATAAAATGTCACGTGATTCATCCCAACAGATACCAACCAGACAGCTTTGTTCCGATTTCACAGTCCGCGAATTAAACGGACGGAACGACTTCAACTTTACCTTCTCTGTAAACGATGCTGGATGTAGGAAACCTCCGCAGACCTGGTTTAATGTGGGTGAAAATTGGGGGCCTGACAACTACGAGAACTGCTTCGAATCTGAGTTAGTAGTGTATACTGTATAGTGTGTATAGTCAGTAATGTATAGTGTGTATAATGTATAGTGTGTATAATGTATAGTGTGTATACTGTATAGTGTGTAATGTATAGTGAGTATAATGTGTATAATGTACATATAATGTATAGTGTGAATAGTGTATAGTGTATGCTACGCAGAAAGATCTTATACATGATGATATTGATATGGACATAATATTCTAAAGAATATAACTTTTATTAGTTGGTATACATTTAATTTAGGAATGCTTGACATAATTGTTTTTGATTTGCAGGACGAAGGATACCTTCACAAAAAACGAGGGTAAAAGGCAGTACGAAGTACTCAATGCATCGTGTTCAAACATCGAAGGAAAAAAGAATAAGATCAAATTGGGGAAACACAAAGCAAACTACACATTCGAAGTGGTAGTCCTCGATCCCTCAGTTTCCTACTGCAAGCTCACTACTAAATTCTCGGTCAGTTGTTGTTAGTTGTTGTAGTGCGTCAAGTCAGTAATTTGAATACATATTATACATTATATAATTTACAACAGATAAACAAAAGATAAATCTGCACTCGCTTTAACTCCGCAAAAAGCTATTATTTGTTCACTCCATCACTCAATCACTCAATCACTCACTAGGTCTGGATAGTCGATGCCCCAAACGCGTCCGATCTTGGAATCATCGTACTGTTCATCGCTTGTCTGGTCATGATTATCATCCTCGCTCTGTCTTATTTCCACTACAAGAAAACCATCCTAACCAAGGCTAACATGGTGCTACAATCTTAAGCAGTGTTGAAGATGCGACAAAAGCCAAGTAGATACAATGCCGACCGTTGTTATGGCTATTAGGTGGCTTTAGAGGGCTGTCGTAACAGCCTGCTAATAGCCCTCTTACAGCCAGTCGGCATTGTACCTACTTGCGGTGTTAGAGATACTTCAAGGATTTATTTCGCTTGAATAATCTGTTTTGCTTTTATTCAAATAGAAACATCTAGAATGTTTTTGAGCTGAATGTTGATTGTTGAAGCCCTTCTTACGAAAGTTTTACCGTTTATGTTTTGGCCTGTTTATATGTACACCATGCCTCAAAAAATTTATCAACACCTGATGGAATCCGTTTATAAATTGTTAAAGTATGTCAATATAGAGGTATTAAAATGTCTGTTCATGTAATGGGTAATTGTCGAAACCATGGGGTTTTGGTCGGCATACTTATAAACATTTGGTTATGATAGTCTGCTAAAATGAGTAAAACACGCTTTGTAACTGTTGTTATTAAGCTGCAAATGGAACCAAACATACTAAAATGGGACCAAACATACAAGGCTAAAAATAATTCACCCCGTTCCATCTCCACAATAATTTAATCACTAAAACTGTGTTGGAAATCTCTCCACTGCTTAGTAATATAATTGTACCGGGGGTTGCATTGTGTTAATGTAATCTGTAAAAAGAAGCTCTGAGCCCCAAAAGTGTTAAATGTCTTCAAACATACGGTTCTTCTTTGATCGCAAGTACTCTTAACTACTCAACAATCGAACTGCAACAACATCAGTAGTAGCTGTGACTTGACAGCTTACTGTCTATCACGACATTTTGCGACATTCAATGGACATTGTCATCTGAAAACCAACATATGAACATAAAAGTCAGGGTTGCTTTCTCGAAGAGCTTGAACACTGAACAGTGACTGGTTTCTCTCTTTCAGTTGAGGAACAGGTCATACACTCGTCATGATCGATATGCCTCGATAGATATTCTTACCCGCCCAATATTGTGTAAAAACATTCCACAATCCGCATTTGACTTCTTCATGTATTCATTTTTCATATCCGGATCTATTCATATGATCGGGAACTCTTTGCGCGCCAACTTCCTTCGAATACATTCGCACGTGATTGTTTTCTTCGCGAGTGCAAACTTCTCAAGTCTTTACTTGTCTAGGGGGTGGACCCCTATTAATCTCTGATAACATATATTTGACAAACTCTTCATAGTTTATAATCCCGTCTTTATTCACATCTATTAAAGCGAAGAACTCGTCTGCTTCCTCTTCACTGAATTTTTCACCAAATCTGTAATGAGTTGATAATAAACAATTTTTTTAAACAATTTTAATTTTATTGAATCTGTATATTATATAGAACACAATTCAAACGGACGCGGAGGCACTAAAATAAGATCATAATAAACACATATACAAATCAAGAAAAGAGCACAGTGGTGCGGATCATGATATTATTTGTATCTTTGTTTAAAATTATATGAAAAGATATAATATATTATAAACTCTTTTCGAATTCTCAGATGGGTCAAGTGAGTAGTGAGTACCCCATAAATTAATGTGACTTTTTTTAAAATTATGAAATTTTGTTCTCTTGTAGATGTGAACTGTAAATGTGAGCTATAAATTTGAACTATAGATCATAGATGTGAACTATAAATGTTGACGACATGCCAAGCCACAGAAATGATAATTAGTAACGGCTTCAAGGGACCGCAATTTGGGAGTTTGTTTGAATTTTCCTTCTCACCGGGCCGTGGGTCCTTCACATATTAACATTGACGGAACTAATTGCCACACTAGAAAAAGAAGTATAAACCCATGCTCCTGATAAAATTCGTCGGATGTACTACAAGCCATATCTCAACATTTTTCACCCTGGATTGTCCAATTTTATAGATTCCAGCAGGTCAACTTTTTGATTAAACAGTTTACGTGAAGTGCTTTCGTAATAACAATTTGCCTACCTGCAAAGTGCCCTCTTGAGTTCAGTTATTGTTACAAAACCGTCTCCGCTCTTGTCGAACACCTAGATTGAATAATTAAATAAACTTTCAAGACCACAAAATCATTGCAGAAATCTATTGATATTGGACTATCACTAAGGTATGCACATTGTACAATTCTGTTAGAGAATTTAATAGTCCTATCAATGAAACCATGGTTCCGCAATTAAATTTAAATAGCACAACAACAGGATAGACAAATAACTTGATGGTCACCTTAAAAGCCTCGATTATCTGAGTTTCGTCCTCCTCTACCCACACCGCCATGAGGGCCAGGTACTCTTCAAACGACAAGTCCCCTGAGTGATCTGCATCGAATCTTGATAACACCTGAGGTGAGTCATGAATTGAGAAGAAGAGCACTAGTTGAAGGTAGCATAGTAATAGCTGAGTACACTGACTGAACACTCAATTCCCGCTCTCAGTATATCTCTGATCTCACCCCGACTTTTCTCGAAAACGTACTACCTTACTGCATTGATTCAGTTAACTGAATGAGAATGGACCATAGGCATGCTGGCCCGCCAGATGAATTAAAGCGTACAAATATTTACAAGCATTAATATTTTAAGAATGGGTATTGGCCATTGGGTTGCCAAATAACAGGTATTACTGTTGATAAATATAATCTATGTAAAATAAGATGCTAATAAATGTACTGAAATAACAGGGGAATAATAAAAATAATAATAATAAAATTTGGTAGCTTAATAACTTAATAACAAATAAAGTAGAAACCTTCTGAATATCCAAGTCTGAAGGAGAATATCCTAACGCGTTGAGAACGGGTCCCAACTCTTCTGTTCCGATCGAGTCGTTTCCGTCCCGATCAAATGCGTTAAACACTTTTCTGAACTCCTTTATCTGCAGAAATTTTGATTAATAACAAAGACATGATAATGAGTAATGCGAATTTTTGTTAAATCTTCGTTCATTATGAGCAAATGATATTGTATTGCTAGTAATTTGTAATAATATACATAATACATTTCGATCTGATTATTTCATAACCTGGTAACAAACCTGGTAACAGCAACATGGACTCACCTGGGTAGTGCTGAACTCGTATCCAACCTGCTCATCTTGACTCTCTATGTCTACCACTTTATCAGGGTCATCTGGCTTTAGCTTGTTGTATACTGAAAAGGGAAACGTTTTAACAACTTGTTAGTAATAACCAGTGGCCGAATTGTAATATTTTATGATCAGTTATTTGTTTAATTTGAAAAATATCGATCATATCTAATCTAGTGATCGTCCCTAGGAATTTCTTGTTGAAGATTATATATCTCCAGGTGAATGTTGTATTTGTATCAGGCTGTCTTAGACAAAAAAAGAAGGATTTAAAGGCTTTCGCCAATATTAATATTATCAACTATAGATTTTGACTGTCTTCTTTTCACCTGTCTTCTTTTCAGTAATTAGCCTTGTAAGTACGATAAAACAATTTCACGGACTTATTAGTTATTCGGTAATGTCATAATCATATTTTTACTCTTGATATAAAACTGCTTAAACAGCAATTCGTTTTAAATAACATTTATTCGTAAAAATGCTATATTAACCGCATAATCACGATTCATAAACATCATAACGCGAGAATAATTATCAATATTTATTAATAATATTGATAATCATACGAAATATATTATATTATATACACTAGCTGTCAAAACTAAAACATATCATAGAACGTGGTTTTTAATTTAGATTTAAATTATAAAATTTCCGTACAAGAGATGAGGGATGAGACAATAATATCATTAAATCCGAAGTACGTGGTTTATTGCAGTGATGTTAGTATTGAAAAGTCACATACGGAATAAATTTTAAGAAAATCTCTCAATTTCAGGATTTAAACAATAATTTTTCTCTGAAGATCAAACCAGGTTTTTGTTGTTAACAAACTTTCCCATCCCCCCTAGTCCCTGTCAGTTTTTTACAGCAAGATTATCACTATGTGAATTTTCAGACATAAGTACTTACAGCAGATATCATCGAGAATGTTAAAATTATTCCTTAAAAGCGAGCATGATTCTTGATTGGGTTCAAAGCCAGTAGACTTTGAACGGGATTTCTGGCCAGTGGCCAAGGTTTTACCGAGTCTTCCGACAGCAAAAAACGGCATTTTCCACCACAAACCAAACAGCAGGCAAAGAACAATGACCGCTCCCATGTTTCGAACGTGTGATCTTCTCACAAAACGCTCTTTGTTTCACCAATTAGATTTGGTTAAAACTGGTCGGACTGCCTCTTATAATTAATTTCCAGGTCTGCCCTCAGTCAGTCTGTGTAAGAAAAGAGCATCAGAGCTTCATAAACTTGTGATGTTATTAAAACAACGCAGTGCGCATTGAGTATGTTTAATCCGATTAGGAGGAATAAAACAATAATCGTAACATCGCTTTTGATTTTGCAATTCAAATGTATCTCTTTTCAAGAACGGTAGAGAAGTCAATCTTAGTATAAAAGTAGAGCTGTAATCCGTGGATAAAGTTGGCATTCAAGACTCTGGGGCTTATTTCAAATTCTAAGGCCATTTCACAGAACTAGACTTACTTTCGCAGCTTCACGAATGGTTATGATAAAGTTTAAAACATCTGGAGAAAATGATTGGAGCCTTGATATCAGATAGGATGGTATAGTTGCTTAGCAACCAGATCACTTATCAGAATCTTGTATATAGCTCTGTAATAATATGTCTCTAGCTCTGTAATAATATGTCTCTAGCTCTGTAATAATATGTCTCTAGCTCTGTAATAATATGTCTCTAGCTCTGTAATAATATGCCTCGAGCTCTGTAACAATATGTCTCTAGGTCTGTAATAATATGTCTCTAGCTCTGTAATAATATGTCTCTAGCTCTGTAATAATATGTCTCTAGCTCTGTAATAATATGTCTCTAGCTCTGTAATAATATGTCTCTAGCTCTGTAATAATATGTCTCTAGCTCTGTAATAATATGTCTCTAGCTCTGATCTGTATGATACAGTTTCTTTGTGTATTTAATATGAAAATTGTTGTGATGATCATCGTGCTAGTAATATCAGAATTGAGACTTTCGAACCTTTCAATGGCAAAAAGCAGTTTATCAGTTTGTCAGACCAGAAAAAACAGTCAGTTAATGTAACTGGCTCGGGCTGTAAAATCGTATAATAAATTGTTGGTACAAAATTGTCAGATCTGTTATTTTGACAAATGGTGTTATCACTTGTTCATGTCTGTGACAACTGCTACGGTTCAAATCCCAACCCCCACTTTTGAATAATTAAAGATGGGAGTTATTGGTATTTAAAGTTCGAACCTTTGGGCTTGGATTTATGTGAATTAAGAGAATTAGTAAAAAGGGACAAGTTGTCAGTATTCTGAACAGAGGAAATGCGTTGTAGCCTGGGTTTGAACCGTCCCCGCGTCGCTTTCTGCACTGCAATCGCCTTATTAATCCTCCCTATCGCAAAAAACGGCATTTTATTCAACAAAAAACAGAGCGCTGGCACGTAATACTAATTCACAAATAAAGCTGGCCTTCTGCTGGCGAGATGGGTTAAAACAAAACCTCCATTGTGAGTTCATGTTGCTTAGCAACCATTGTCTCCCGACTCAGTACAGCTCTACATGTGCAATCAGCTATCCCTGGCTTGATTAAGATGTTGTAGTCACATTGTTCAATACATGTTTGTGGTATTCCGTGGTATTCGTGGTATATACTGGAGGAGAATTGTTGATTGTTGAACGGTTCGAATATGTAGGGTCACGAGGTGCTATTTCACTTTCACGGGGGTATAATGCATAATTGTGTGGACGGATTCATAATCAATTACTGGGGCTATTGTGTGGTTTAATCTTGAGTATTTCATGTTGTAGTTGCTATGCAACCAGATCACGGTTCTTTTGTTTCTCAATTTAAACGTGCTACAGCATGATAAGAAGGTTGGTTCTAACGCCAAGCCAGTCACAATGTACGTCAATTATAGTACAATATACCACATATGTCAGGAAAGGAAAAGGAAATTATTCTCTGGAAAGAAGTTTTGGCCATCCTTGATATATTTCAGGAGGAATATTTTTGAATCATGCTCAAAAAATTGAAGTGAACAACCAGTAATACGACTAATAATGGATATGACGGCATTATGTTCACAAAATACTCTTAATAACCTTCCCCACGTGACAGGTATTTATAACAAAGGCATTCCCCAATAATTCTTAGATATTTAGATCCTTCACCTGCATTTTTTTCCCTGCTCTTGCCGAAGGCAAAAAGATCGTAGGGAATAAGTAATCGGGTTTGGATATATGAAGTGGCCCGACGGTCCTACGGTGATGACAAAAGTCTGCTCCTTCGCAATATAGACCACTCCCCTATAATTATGTGTATAAAAGGAGGCAATTTTGCGCGCGCGACGCCAGCTATGTGTTAATTAATTACAGGCATAGCAACCAGTTTTAGGTGCTTGACGACTGTTACACAGGTTTCCATCGGGTTGCAATTTACTCTAATTCATTAATATAGCATATTAGTCATCTGAGCGGATCAATCATCAATACAAGTGTTTAGTTATTTTGTTGAAACAAGCTTAATAAATTACCGAGTGATAAAATTCAGCAAGTCGAAACAAATTAAATTATTATATCAACTGATAAACTCGTGGCCGAATATTTTACAGTTTATCGAAACTGAATGGTAAAAAGCGATTACATATTTAAGAACAGATGTTACTTTACATTTACATTCAAGAAGCAACTAAGATCAAGATTGCGGTATAGTATGCTTTTAAAGAATCCTATATAGTCGATGGTGCTGTAGATGTGTCGAGTAAGCATCAAAATGTATTAGTTTATGTTAGATACAAATAATAACTAAGATTAGACAGAATATTTTATTACAGTCAATAAAGTTGGCATACGATGCAGTATAAATATGACGTGACATGATCATACGCATCGTTAACAGTAACACGAAACAAAACCGCGCAACATATGAAATGATCTACAACCAAACCACATATAGAATATAGATCGACGGCGACACCTAAGATGCGCGCAGAATTTTCAAGTTCTGCACGCCTAATATAATGAAAACGATTATCACGTGCGCCAAACACCACTCTGGGATACAAGTAGAACAATTACATTGTAGGCAGTAGGGAAATTTAATCGTGCGTGGTGTTACCGCGGCGAAATTCTTGTTTTACAAGCAATAATGCCACACGTACTTAGTAACTTTCCCAAATAAGTAATCACAAAAAAAATCCCAAAACGTATCTGATATAAAGATCCTTCACCTGCAATTTTCTCTTTCTTTTCGTTGACATTCAGTTCACTCCCTCTCCTAAGGTTCACGGAGCTAATTCTCTTGGGTTTAGAGACCAGGTTCATAACAGAGAATGTCAGAGGATCTGGATTGTCCACAGGAGGCAGGTCCTCCTCGGGGGTGTAACCTGTCCTCTTCCTGTCATCGGGCTTTTTCCGCAGACGGAACCTTCTTAGCGTTAAAAACGGCATGTTTACGAAACTTCGGGTATAGAGTCCTATATCATGACGCTTCTTCGAGCTGGAAGATACAGACAACTAAGAATGTTGAAAGATAAGATATATATATCGAGAGATCAGAGGCCGGAGATGCAATGCACGGTCGACTTTATCTATTGTATCCGGCTGACTTGAGACTCAGGATTACGAGGTCAAAAACGTTTTTGCTTCTAGATCATACAAGAACATTACAATTGGTAATCATAGAACATTACAATCGGTAATCACAGGGTGGTTACATATTATATTTTAAAAGATAAAGGATTAGGGACTTAATTTGTTAGAGCTTTCGCTGACGTTGAGGTGGAAAAAACAAGCCAATATCGAGTTTTGTAGCCACAATTGCCCCGGAATAAAACAGTAAAGGATCACAAGATAGTTAAGTGTCATCAAACAAATGATACGACGTATTCCAGGGTGATCTGCTGAAGACTCAACTAGTTTCGGCCTTTGAGGGCCATCCACAGGAGTGTCACCTAGCAGAAGTCAAAAATTTAATAAACTGATATCAGAAGAATATGTCATATTAGTAAACATACGGTTAATTAATCTGAAAATCCATTGTAAAGTTATAAACTCATGGGGCAGAAAAAGAAACAAAGAGTAA